TATTTACTCGGTAAATGGAGAAGTCAAAATCGGACAAGTAAATAACCCGAAGTAATTAATTTTCGTTGACATTCTGAGTTTCGAAAATGTAAACACTATACAGCCACCCACACATAGTTGAGGATATACATACTGTACGTGTATATGTGTATTCGTGCAAAAGAATCTGGACTCATGCACATTCTGTTTGTAAACACTCTTATCGGTTTAGCCAGCCAATTAACGTTAAACCAATGTTTGGACTTATTGCATGTCTACTATAAACATGAGTAATGCATTCGCCGTAAAAATAATGATTATAATGAATTAATCCATCTGATGTGTATTATAAGGATTTAAATATGTTGTTTTAAGAGATTTTCATAACCCTGTATGCCAGTTAAAAACAAACACCAGCACGCAACATTTTGCAGTCTGTTAAACAAATAAAGTCCTTTGATTTAAATAACATTTATTTTACATGACCAAACACAATAAATAACGTAATATACAAAGCTTTATAATTATTGCACATTTGTAAAATATTTTACAGTGAGTTCATACAGTCAGCAATATTTAAAGCACGAAGACTTTATTTACAATTTTTATATAATAACCAGATCCAACGGACCCAACATAAAATGAATTTCTGTTAATTTTTACCAACCAGCGTTCTCATTGATCATTCCATTATATATATTTTGGGAAAATGTAAACATTATTGCCAAAATTATCTTATATACATCCAATAAGTGATTTTAACAAATGATTTTAACAATCTAAAAAAGTAAAGCTGGTAAGAGTGCCATATTTTGGTTTATTTTCTTTAGCCTTAAATTATATATTAATAAAAATTTTAAATGTAAACTCAGTGATTAAGAGCTGGTATAATCAATATTTTTACATAAGTAGTCTTGTCTTGCTATTTTGTTTTTACAAAATGAAAATTATGCGTATCAGGTAATTGCTATTTAAATTGAAAAGTTTTAACTTTAAACATTTTATGAACGTATTTTCCCAAGAACACACCCCAGGAGTTTCGAAGTATCTTTTTTTTCCAGAAATCTTTTCCATCTGACAAAAAACTACAATTTGTTTTTTTTCTGAAAAAGCAAATCGTTTCGAAACAGTTTCCTGAAAGTCTATTATTAGCATATGAAAGCAAAAATCCAGTGTCTTAAAAACAGGTCTTTCAGGACACTTGTTTTAAATAAATTGTGGAAAATTGTGCCGATGTGTGTGTATATCGATATATGTGTTTATGTAGCTCTCTCTCTTACATATGTATATATATTTAAGGGAAAGATCATATATAAATGTATGTGTATATATATATATATTACTTTTCTGCCTACATATCGATATACACACACATAACCCACTCTCTGGGCCTAAACATGCAATAGCAAGTTATTTGAGGGCTTCAACTCTTCAGAAAATCTCATTATGTGAAGAGTGAAGTGGCTCTGTAGGGAGCATTATGGAAATATCTGGGTTTGATTTAATGAGGCTGTTCACATTGGTGGAATATCAACTTAACAGAGAAAAGTCTACCCAGGGCGTCCAAGTTACCAAAATGAAAATTGGCAATTGAGATGATAAGAACGTGGCTTTCTTCTGCGAAATCACTTCAGGTAACAGAGATAACATTAAATAACATACATTCTATGCACCAAGAACAATGTTTTATGTACCGAGTCTCTTATCTGTCTCTTCTAATGACTTCCCTTAGCGGGTTGTTAGTACTTGACAGCAGGTCTCTGTGTGGGGAACTTTTTTTCCAATTCCACATTCAAAGGAGGTCCATCAGAGAACATGATTGGCAATTTTCGTCATAATCTGCACATTATTAGCATCAAAATTGACATGGCAGTAACACTGGTGGTTTTTGATGTGCCTTTCTTCAAGTTCAAGGAAGTCCCTCCTGTAGCAGTGGTTTGGTATAGCAGGTCTCAGTTACCCAATGGTGGCTTTTCAGAGGCAAAGGCCCAATAGACATGCGTGAGAAATAATGCTAAGAGCCAAGGGGGAGGGAAGAGGAAGAAAAGGAAAAAAAGGGGGGGGAGACAAGAATTCAAACTTTTAAAAGTGTCTGTAAGGTAAATGCTTCAGGATAATATCATATACCTAGAAATTCAAGTATTTCCCGGATAGCGTGGAATATGGTGTTAGAAAGCTGGGCTTTAAACTGCCTCTTAAGATCCTATAGTAACCTGTCAATCTCTCACTTTCTCACATTTTACTGGCCCACCAACAGCCACCTCATTAGATACCACTCTTTTGCATAAAATATGCAAGACGTTTTCAATTCATTGGGACTGAAACTAAAGATGGGAAAGAAAGAGAAGAGGAGGAAGAGGGGAAGAGGCCCACTGATACCACTCTTCCCCATTTTCGTCTTGTTTTGCAAAGGCGGCAAAAAAAAAAAAAATGCCCCCATATCCTCTACATCTTTCCTTCTCTGTCCTTCCCACGCACCCCCAAATAGATAAACACATTCACAAACACCAACAGGGGCGCGGCCGCCCCTTCCACCTTCACAATCTTTTTCCAAACCTCTTCTCCTTTGCCTCTTTTCTCTCTTCCTAGACTAAAGACTGAGGGCCGCCCCTCCGTCAGGAAGTTCAAACTCAAAGAAAAATCCCAACTGTTTTCCAACCCCAAACAAACTACAACCAAAAACAACGCTAGGACTGAAGTTCTCTCTCTCTGTGTGTCTGTCTCTGTCTGTCTGTCTCTTTCTGTCTCTCTCTCTCTTTCTCTCCTCTCTCTCTCCTCTCTCTGTCTCTCTGTCTCTCTCTCCTCTCTGTCTGTCTCTGTCTCTTTCTGTCTCTCCTCTCTCTCTCTCTCTCTCTCTCTCTCTCTCTCTCCTCTTTCTCTCCTCTCTCTCTCTGTCTGTCTCTGTCTCTTTCTGTCTCTCTCCTCTCTCCTCTCTCTGTCTCTCTCTCCTCTCTCTGTCTGTCTGTCTGTCTGTCTGTCTGTCTCTCTCTCTCTCCCCCCTCTCTCCCCTCTCCAGCATAACGCAATACGATAAATAATTTCTTTGTTATTCCTCTTTGCTTCTGGGCCACCTATGTTCATCATTATATACTCAAGATTAACACAAGCACGGGATGGAAGTCACTAATAACTCAGTTTAGGGTTGGGTTTCTGCCGTCTAGCCTAGAGTTCATTACATGTGTGTGAAGGAGGACCCGGGGTGCGGAAGGGGGTGGGAGGGTGGGGGAGGAGAGAAGAGAGAGGGCGAATTGAGAATAAAAAAATAGACCGAACTTTTCTGAAACCGAGTCGCGGCTCTTGCCCCACCCGCCTCCTTTCTTGTCCCTTTCCCCCGCCGCCCTCGACCTCCCCCTAGCGGTGGCCCCAAGCACGGGGTAGGAAGAGGTGAGGGCGGCGGGGAGTTCAGAGTCCCGCCCCTGATAGCACAGCGGGCTAGCTTAGTTATCTGGTGAGCGGGGCCTCCTCCCTCTGGTCCGGGGGGCTGACCGCAGTCTTGCTGAGCACTGCGGCCGAGTAGGGCAGGAAACTACTCTCGGACCGCTGCGAAGCGGCGCTGCAGGCGAAGTCCGAGCCGCTTCCACCGCCCCCTCCACCGCCTCCCCGGGAGCCCAGGGCCGCGGCCGCCGCCGCTGCAGCTGCGGCCGCCGATTGGCTGCTATGACAGCTGAGGCAAGAGCAGGGCGCGGAGCCGCCGCTGGGGGGCGCTCCGGCCGCCGCCGCGGAGGAGGCCGCAGCGGCCGCCGCCGCTGCTGCTGCCGCGGCCGAGGCCGCACTGTTAAGCCCGGCGGCCGCCGCCGGAGACTGGTAGAGGCCCGGGTGGCGGAAGCTGCAGAGCAGCTCGGGCCGTGAATAAGGGTGAGAGAGGGCGCGGAAGGTGTCCAGGGGGCGGATGGAGGTGGCGAAAGGTGATGAGGCCGCGGCCGCAGCTCCCGAGGCCGCGGCCGCGGCGGCCGCGGCCGTGACACCCACGTGGGGGTAGTAGTGGAGTGGCACGTGCGAGTGGAAGGGATAGGGCAGGCTTCCGGTAGCGGCCGCGTGCGTCATCATGTAAGTGTAGAAGCTGGGGTCGGCCGGGTGGGGCCACGACATGGCCAGGCGCTGTCTTTTGTCCTTCATCCGTCGGTTCTGGAACCACACCTTGGAGGAGCAGAGGGGAGAGGAGGAATGGATGGAAGGAAAGACCAGAAGTACACCCGGGTTAGAGACCTAGGTCACTATTGGCAGCTAATATAAGGGGCCCTCGCCCCCAACCCCATACACACATGGACACCTTCACACAATCATCCCTCACCTCACAATAAATACACACAGCCGGGCTTGCGAGTACCGTTGACATCAATAATAAGCATTCCCGACCTCAGAAAGTCGATCTCCATCCTTTGTTTGCTTTCCATAAACACACCTGCCCACCTGTCCTCATATCGCCCCTGTCCCAAGCCTAGTCTTTCGTCCCAGCCCTAGTCACAGCTGGAGACAATTCAGCCAGCTGCTGGCAGATGTACACAGCCCCCTCACCTCTACCACACACACACACACACACACACACACACACACACACACTTCTATCCCCACCCCCACGTTTGCACTGACTCACTCTCACCCGCCAGGTCTCGGGTTGTCCCGGCCAGTTGCTTGTTTATTTGTATGTGCTTTTCTGACCTCCACACTTCAGTGTATGCTACAGAAGTCCTTTTCCACCCACACTCATACCCTTCCACCACCCGAGTACACAACTTGGACGTACCTCCTTACAATTGAAGGATTTACGAATGTACTCTAGGCTGACTAGGATGCTCAAAGAAGTAGCCATGGCAGTTTTTACTTGAGGGATACAGGCACAGCACTTGAAGCATATATACTTTATACGGCTGTGCTCACCTACAGACACAATTACCAATTTAATACAGAGGAAACAGTTTTATTGAGATTTGTTCTACGTATGTACACTGAATCGCCGAATTGTGGCTTCTTACAGATAGAAATCTTTCCTTTTCCTAACAATATACTGTTCACAATGACCTACACAGTTCGTTGTTACCTCCATTAAAGAATGATCCGGGTCAAATTAGAGGGAGAAATTCTCCCCACTCAATACACTACTTCCTGTCACTGTGCTTACGGGGCTTCTCTCTCTCTCTTTTTTTTTTTTTTGGAGTGTCTCAGATACCTAAAAAGGCCATCAAATCACTCGGCGACCCAGACGTTTCACCTAGTACGCTAACAGAAAAACAAAACAGAACAAAACCTATCCCCTCTAAGGGAGGCACACCTCACTACAGAAATTTGAATGGAGAAAACAATTGTTCCCCTAAAAGGTTTCTTGTAGGAAGTATTACGTTAAAAAGATGTAGAAAGGAACATCGAAATCCACTTTCTCTTAGCAATAATTTTTCTAACAGAATTAATTTTCTTTTTAGCGTTGTAAAGAATGTCATGGAAAATAAACCTTCCATATCAAGAACAAACGAAAAGTTTCACTTTAGATTGATCATTAGAGAAACAAAAAGCACGATTTTCACTGGACAAAGGTAGAGGTGGCCGGCGAAGACAATTCCTAATTTGTTGGCATCATTCAATAAATCCATGGCTGTTCTTTTTCCTATTATTGTTGCAATCCCAAATCAGTGCTCCTTGGGAGGATGGGGGAGGGAAATATCCACATCACGCTCATCGTTTAGATTATACACAGTGCAGGAATAAGGAAGGATTGAGATTAGTTACCAGCATTTTCTCACTTCCACCCCAAACTGCCACCTAAAGAGCCCGACAGAAAGGTCAGACGACACCCAGCAATACCCTTCTAGTAGTTCAGAGACAGCAGTACCTTTATTGTGGTTTCCGGCAGGTTGAGCGCTGCGGCCAGTTCGCATCTTCTGGGCCGAGAGACATAGTTCTCGCGGTAGAACTCCTTTTCCAGGCGGGCGATCTGCTCCCGGGTGAAGGCAGTGCGGTAGCGTCTCACCTGATCGGCCCCGGAGCCCGAACTACCAAGGGCATTGCTGCTGTGCAGGTTGGTTAAGCCGGAACCTGAAGAAGGGGTAGTAGTAGCAGCTGAGCTGCTCTCCGAATATCCTAGGAAACAAACCAACAAATATGCATAAAATATATATATGTATATTTGTGTGTGTGTGTGTGTGTATTATATATCTATCTATCTATCTATATATATATATATATAATTTGGGCTTGGAACCTGTGCGCACAATAGGTTTCGAGTGGATTAAATAAAGATGCTTAAGTAGGGGGCAACTGCTGAGTCTCTGAACTGATGTAATTGATAGTAGCTGTCATTGTTACAAATTGCTGCTGTTAATAGAATCAATAAAGTTTTGGGATCCCTTCATAAGCAAATAATTCTAAGTAAATTAGGTAGTTTTTAATAATTATGGAATTGTTACACTGGGACAAATTAAACCAAAGAAGATCAGACACCTCAAGGCACAGTTTGGGAGGCTCTAGGACTCAGCTAAAACCATATCTCTCTAACTTGGATCAGTTTCTCCAGTTCAGCCTTGTTGTTTCTTAATTATTTGTAAGACTAGCAATGTAACAGTCACTAAAACCAAAAACTTTATAGCGCAAAATCCACCTCGCCTCTCTCAGATACATCTAACAGTGCCAGCACTACCTTAAGAATCACAAGGATTCTCTTACCAGGCTCCCTCCCCATAACCAAAAAGGAATAAATCTACATATACATGTTATACATGCATACGTACATACAAACATACATACACTCCCAATCCCATTAAAATGGGGCATGCTATAATGGAGACGAATTTAATAGCTAGTGTATTAAAAATGAAACTGAATAATGTCCATTTGTCAGGAGTGGGAACTGAGCAATAACCATTTGAGGTGAACTCTGCAAACATTTTCAATCCCCTTTCCATATTTGTATGTTACAGAGTCTGACTCAAATTGTTTGGTGTAAGTCCACAGCAGAGGAGACATACACTTTTGATCTAGATAACCACGGACTCTCTACTCCTTTGGTGGATTTGGGTGTGCGTTTGTTTTTATTGTGAGTCTATATTGTACATACTCACACAATGAATATGTTTGTGTGTATTCACACACAGAGAGACACACAAATATACAGACTTACATGAATGTCTCCGGTAACCCATACATGGATGCACCTTAGCAGATAAACACACCCAAGACTGTCATTCCTGGACTCACAAGCCAGCGATAAGAGCTTTCTTACAGCTCGGACAGTGTTGATAACTGAGCAGGTAAAAGTACCTCTCCTGACTAGAGAGTTAGTCTGGAATAAACCGTAAGACCGGAGAAGAGAGAGAAACACTAAGAGAGGGAGAAGGGGGAAAGGCAGGCAGAAGCCCGAGTTACCTTTGTTATTGTTTTCCTTCAACTGGGAGGCACTGAGGCTGGCTGGAGAGCGGAGAGCGGAGCAGCCCACTTCCACATCACTGTTCATATCTGCCTCTGGAGCAACTTCGGAATAATGGCCCGTTTTCTTCCTGCTTTCTGCCGGAGGGATTTCAGAAGAGACGGTGCTTTCGCTGCTCGGGTGTTGCAGGTTGAATAAAGTGTCTATTTCGAATTTCCCTTTGGCAGGGATGTCCCCTATAGCGCTATGCAGGGAGGCGGAAGTCAGTCTCGGGCTGAGGCGACCACCGTGCTGCGAATTTTCAAGGGCCTCCAGCACCGCATTTCCAGCTGAGTCGGACAAATTCGAAAACCTTTTGCCAGATGTAGGGCTGTGCAGCCCTCTTTCCATCAGAATCATCTCTTTTCTTATTCTTTCCATCATCTCAGCTTTATAAAAAATGTCAAAGTTGCAGGGCTGGTCCTTTCCTAATGATAAGCTGCAGCAGGGGCTAATTCACATTCAGTCCCAGCGAGCGGCTCTAAATATTATTATCTCTTTTTGAGGGAGGCGTAAAAATTGTGGGATGCCAAAGCGAGGGAATGACTGGTCAAAATGACCCATACATCCTTTCTAGCCCGAAATGTCATTCATCAAAAAGTAGCGCTCGTCATTAAGGTAGGAATGACGCTGTTCGAATAATCATTTATTGTAACAGGTTTATAAGCAAATAAATACGAGCTCTTGTCAGTGGGTAATGAAGGCGGCTTCGGAGCAGACAAATATATCCAGGTGGAAAGAAAGGAAAGAGAAGTGAAGAGGCAAGCTCTTGTCCTTTGCCTGATCAGATCTTGCTTCAATTGCTCTGGGGTTTGGCCTCTGGGGGTGAAATTGACAGTCTGATTAATAAAATGAGCAGCGCCACATTTCCCCCTTCATTTAGGGACATCATTATACTCTGATTTTTGTTTTGTTGCCTTTTAGGTCCTAATGATGCAGCTTCTTCCTCATTTTTTCTCGGACAGAGCCACATGTTAAATAATAGATAATGCTTTTATTTTTCCAGGGCAGATTGTCTGTCTAGGATTAAAAAAAAAAAAAAAAGCAACTAACCATTTACAAGCAGAAGTGGGGGTGGAATGGGGGGAAGAGAGGTTGCGTAAGGAGAGGATCATTCTCTCTAGATCTGGGTTTCTGATTGAAGAGCCAAATATGATTTTTTTCTTTAGCAAAGAGGACTCTTAAGTCTCTTCTACCCATCCTGTTTCCCACCTCACTCGGGTCACCTTTCTCAGCAAAATCCTCCTTGGTGGAGAGAGTTTCAGAACACTCTTGCTGTTCACTAAAAGATTGCATTTCCGCGTGTGTGTCCAAATGGAAATAATTACGAAAGCTCTTACTTTCTAATACATTTTGGTTATTGAATTCTGAGCTCTGGGTCTAGGGTTTTTACTTTTATAATCCTGCTGATTGATGGTCCTCTCGCCTTACGATTTGTCCTCTGGGGAAAATACACTCTGCTATATGATTTGATAGAAAGACTCGACAAATAACTTTAAACACATTTGTGATTTAAGGTACCCTATGAACCGACCCTTTGCACTTTTTACTTTCCTCCCTTTTTCTTCTCTAATCGAATAATTCTCGGTACAGTAACGAGTTTTTAGCGCGGTAACCAAAAAAAAAAAAATTCGTCTCCTCATCCATCTCCCTCTCTTTTCCCTTTCCCCAGTCCCTTCCCCCACCCTCCCACTACCTTCCTCCTCCTTTTTCTCCTCCTCTTCCTACCTCCTCGTCCTCCTCCTCCTCACCTTCCTCTTCCTCTTCTCCTTCTTATTCCATTCCCGCCACGTTACCTGTAGCTATAGGGTCTTCCTGATGCTAGTCCCAGGCGAAGGGAATTAAAGAAATGCCTTCTGGCTACTATAAGGTACCGTGGTTTCCAAGCCGAGCCTCTCTCTGTGATAAGTTTGATAGTCATAATGACGCCGATGGCAACCATCTTAAGGAAGATAAATCCTCAGACTTGAACATCACTGAAGTCGCCTTCAAGCCCACAACACAAACCACTCTCCATCCCCCAACCCCTACCCCACAAACACACAAGCTTCGCCGCAGAATCAACTAAAACTAAGTTTCTGGGGCTCCCTCATGTGCTGGTTCAAGGAGAAAATAATGGCAACATTCCACCACCTTCTCTGGGATTGCAGATGCTCTGTATGGCGACTGGTCAAGCAAAAGCTAATCTCTTGATTCTAACACGTTCCATACCCTGTCCTCCCCAGCCCCCTCTTCAGATCGTTCAAATCATTAAGGCAAATAAAAGGGTGGTTTGCCTATCTTTGTCAATTCATATCTTTCTTTTCAGCTTGGCCAAGTCAGGGATATTTCTGAAACCGGGGAGGAGATCCTGTGCACGTGTAAACTTCTCAATAATAGACAATAATGCCAAAGTGTCGATACCAAAGTGTTGTAACTGAACTTTTCCGTTACTGACTCACTAGGTATGTCTAACTTTTAAAAATCTAATCATTTTTAAAATGAATAGACCCAACTTTGTCAAAGGTGAGGAAATTAAGGAAGTGGGAGAAAACATATAAAATGGAAACCATGGGCATCTAAGTGGGGCAAAGGGAAGAAATCTCTCTCTCTCTCTCTCTCTCTCTCTCTCTCTCTCTCTCTCTCTCT